TGCAGCTGGCATCGCTGTGCAGCCACGGAGTCCCTGCGCGCTGCTTTGAACGCTCACTTTGCAGCAAACTCTGCCGTCAGGGAGTCCGATGTGTCTGTTAGCGTTTGGGCTTTTGCAACATTTCACCAAAACAAGCTTGGAACAGCTGATAAACACAGTCACTGGAAAGTCAGACTCTGTAAAGTGTCACATATTACACTGCATAAGAACGTGTAAGACTGTATTCAGGCATGTAGATAACTGCAAAATGTCAGAATACAAAAATAAATGGTCTGTAAAAGAAAATGCACAACATGATGAAGTGTTTATTGAGAGAGAATTTTATATGTGCTGGTAGCTGTGCTCTAGCCTTGAACAAAAAGTGCCAACGAAGCTTATGTAACTGAGACGTGGAATTAAGGTAAACCCTGCGTATCAGAAGTCAGTTCAAGACTGCTGAGTTTCAGTCATCTAGCTGGGAATAATTTATGGTGAAGTTTAAATCAGAACCTTTTTATTTCACTAAACTACAAGGTGTAACAGTTTCCTGCTACCAGAGACGTGGGCCCAGATTTCTCTGTTTTAAACCCATTACAAGATAGTCAACTACCTTACAGTTTTTGTCTGAAGGCTTCTTTTAAAGACAGAGTCAATGTCCTAGGATGTTTGCCAGCTATACTTCTGGAGACATGAGGCTCTCTTGATCTTGTTCTGGTTTTGTTTTTCTGAAGTCTGACTTGAGAGAGCCAAAGTACTCCCTCTTATATCTATATATATCTATATATTTCTTTTTTAAGAAGCTGTCTGTGCTGTCCCTTCCCTCCTCCTTTCCCCTGCTGCCCTTCACTGTGGTGGGCTGGAGACCTGCCTCCTGGACGTGCTGCCCACCTCACGGCTGCGACAACTTGGAGAAGTGTTTGAGCATCCCACGAGCTCAACACAGCCTTGAATGTCCTGTTGCACCTGCCCAAATCCTTGCCAAACATCGTGTAAAGTTCCTGCGCAGCTAACACGAGACTGATGTGTTTTCAGGAAAATAGTGACCTCTTTGGAGGTGGCAGATCCTCGAGCTCCCCTCGCCAGCCGCCCGCTCCCGTGAGGCACATGTGCCTCGAGGAGATCCCCAGCCTCGTGGTCGCCGGTGGCACCTCCACATGTGGGGAGCGGCTGGGCAGCTCGGGGAGGGGATAGGGAGCAGGGTGCGATGGGAGGGTGGCTTAAGGCCCCCAGGCTGGGGGTGCCTAGGGCTCCTCTGCTCTGCGGGGCTTCCTCTACCT